GTGGGTAAGTAAGTATTGACGCTTAGGTCAATTACTTTTGCCACCTTTGGCATACCTGGAAAAGCTTTCCCATGTCCGACTGAGTTGTTGTACCAGTAGAATAAGCCATTGAGAAGAGGGGCAAGGAGAGACACTCGCTGGGCAATTCTTATGCTTTCAAGGGAAAGGTTCATCAGCAACTTCTACTTTTTGCCTGCAGCTTTGCTTTGGAGACTCAGAAGATTTTGGCACGAGCTTTTGAAAACAAGCCTGGAATAGCGGGCCTGGAGACAGAGCCGCTGGCAGAGCCGGACTCCGGAGAGGAAGGGCGGCCGATGCAGGTCACTGGACGCGTGGATGGAAGCAGGCGTCGCGGTTGGTGGCTTGGTGTTCGTGTCTTCGTCGCAGGGTCGCAGCTCACAGCTTCTTCGTCGCAAGCTCTGAAGCTCCGTCTTCGTTCTTTGACTTTCCTTCTTCGTTAAAATGAGATGTTAGTGGATGGCCAAATGTTATCCAAATAAGTGAATTATGTGTTAATTTGGTTCATTTAAAAGTTAAGTGTCCAAATTGAGATTACCAAATAACATTAGTGTCCTTTTGAGCCTTATCCCTTTTATCTATTATTTGTGAAACGTACGTGTCGATTGACTAGTTGCATTTAAAAGTTAGGCTTGTGTGTATAACACTTTATATTTAAGATATTGACTACTTAAAACACCTTAAGATAAAAATCAAAAGTCTTTTTTTGTGGAAACAACTTCACTTTTTTATATACTCTCCGTCAAATAATAAATGGAGATTTAACTAAATGAGAGTAATTAAATTCCTAATTGCCAAAATAGGATTAAAGTTTAAATATTCCCCAAATAGAAGTTATTATTTGTAGGTTGACAGAAATACCCCAAAGGCTGACAAAATAGACTGAGCCTGACAAAATAGACTGTCGGAGACATAACGCCGGACTGACTACCTCCGGCCACCGCTGGACGCCGCCGCAGCATCAAAACTAGATGCCGATCTGATCGCCACCACCGTAGATATGGCCATCGTCTCCCTAGATCGGGCCTCCACCTGCCGTCGACTGCCACCATTGCAGATCCAACCGCCACCACTTCAGATCCGGCAGCCTCCACCACAGATCCAACCACCACCACTTCAGATCTGGCAGCCTCCATCACAGATCCGGCCTCCGTTACGGCAGATCTAGCTGGCGCCACCATTGATGCCAACCTTTTTATGAAAATGCCAACATAAATTGAAAATTCCATTTTAATGGAATTTTCAAAGAAAAATATGGAATTTTTAAAGAATAAAAATGCCATTTTTATGACATTTTCAAAAAAAATGGCAATTATAACAAGAACTAAACAACGCCAGTTTTATTTCACCATTATTGATGTTGGTCCCGTTTATTCCTTACAATTGACAAACAAAGCAATTTCAAAATTGAAACATAAGGAAGAAGAAAAACTATAGAAAAAGCTCAAAAACATTCGTATAAAGCAAAAGAAAACACAAAGAGACAACATGGATGCAAAGAAGAGAGAAGAAGACTCAGATTTTGACACCACATCAACCACACCAGATTCAGATGAATTAAATTGAAATCGAGGAGTGCGGGGAAGAGAGACCTCTGTCTGATGACGCTTCTCGCGGCGCTCGCTGCTCAATGCTCCCATGTCGTTGAAGCCTTTCTATGCGCAGAGATGCAAAAGTGATGAGTGCGACGAAGGTTATGAGGGGTCGAAGGGTTGAAATGATTTTGAAGGGTAAAATTGGAAGAATAGTCCTATTTAGGGAATAAAATTGTGCTTACTCCTATTTGAGAATTTCAACAACAATTTGATCCTATTTGAGGCTATTTCAATTTAAACAATACATAGAATATATGAGTATATTTCAATTTATTATTCTAAAATTTAAATCTTTTTTTCAAGGAAAGATACAAAAAGATAAAAAATCGTTTTCCGATTATTTGTCCTCGAACCAGACTTAGAGACTAATACCTCTAAAAAAGCAATATGACTCGTTGATCCTATAATGAGTTTAACTGAGCCAATGACAGACGCAATAGACATTTCATCACCCAACCTAAATTGTAGAGTTCTGCTAGTAGAAATAAAAAATAATAACCAAATTTGAAATAACATCTTTCAAACCATAACCACACGATTCCTCCACTGCGGCGGTTCGGGAGTGGGATGGACTAACACTAATGCATTTTCGTCCTCTCCTTTCTCTTGATTCATAACATTCTCTGGTACTGAGCAATCAAAAGTGTATGAGAAGCTGCCATGTAACCAAGTGTCGTACTGATTAACAATGGATTCCGTGATTTCTTTTTGGCATGTTGAGAAGTTGAAGACAAGCTTGCGAACAAAAACAAAAGCAACCCTGCGATACTATAAATTAAGCATGTGCGATGAGTGAGACTGAAATTCTCTGGCTGCACAAGCATAGACGAGTGAGAGGGAAAAGTAAACCCTATGATAGAGTATATTCTAGAGAGAAGTGAGAGCTAGAGAGATAAGTGCAAGTAAATGCTTCAATAAATGATTTTACAACCCCTACAACTACCTCAAGAGGAAGTATTTATAGGGAAAATACGGGTTGGGCTCCCAAGCCTTGGGCTTGGGAGGCCCGTTTACAACTGGACCGCTTTTGGGCCGAATACAATGTGTGTAGAAATGATTAAGTGTAAAATCTAGTTCTGTGAGGCTTTCGTGGCCGACGAGGGTCTGGTCGATGAGGGTACGGCCGATGAGGGCACGGCCGACGGGGGCACCCAAGTTCCCTGGCTTCAGGATCATATTCTGAGTTGGTCCCTCTTCGACCGACGAGGGTCCTTTGGCCGACGAGGGCACCACTTGGTGGCTCGTACTTTCTGTTCTTCTGAGTATGTGGGTCCTGGGGCCTAGACCCATATACTCCATCAGGAGTCCCCCACTCTCTAAGCTGAGATGTAGACGAAGTGAAGGAGAGTAGATTCATGTTCTTTTATGCTTGGCCGTTACGTGTCCCCTGTTGTGGACGGGAGAGATCCTGGCCATGCGGATGGTACGTGTTCTTTGCTCTCTGGGACGATGAATGCCCTTGCTTGATGAGGGCGGTGAAGGTCCGCAATTGTGAGTGGCCGGTATGTGTCTTTGGCATGAGTAGTCGATGAGGACATTCTTACCTTTTCACAATTTTTGGTGGCTGGATTTTGTTTTTGGGCCGAGGGGGCCACTACGGTTATGTCTTGCTTGAGGACGATGAGCGTCCTATGCCCTGGGTGGCCGTTGAGGGCGCTGTTCACTCCTATTGGCCGTTGTTGATTGAATTTCGTACTTTTGTCTGAGGAGGCCATCGTGGCTATCTCTTGTTAGAGGACGATGAGCGTCCTTTGTTTTGAGTGGCCGTTGAGGGCGTTGTTCATCCCTTCTGGCCGTAGACGATCACTTACCGTGCCTCTAGCTGAGGTGGTGTGTGGTGGTTAGTTTGCCCAAGGTCTGGAGGACGATGATGGTCGCTGGGGATGATGAGTGTGTTGCACCTTTGGCCTGGCCGTAGATGGAGCTTACGGGGGCCTCGAAGCTGATGTGATGCATAGCCGGTATGATTACGTTTTCGGTGTAGTGCGTTTTTGAATTTTCCTTCTACCTTTGCATTCTTGAGGCCGGTGTAGTCCCCCAATCCCCCACTCCTTCAAGCCGAAGAGTATCTGAGGGATGAAGGAGTAGCTTGAAACCTAGGCCGAAGCGGGATCCTCATACTGCCCTTGGATCCAACCCTTTGGCGATTTCCTGACCAAGGTAACCCTGTGGGAGAACCCTTGAACGCAGGTCGCTTTCAAAGGGTTATCATCATGGGTTTAGTGCGAGGGCTGAATGGCCGTTGGGTTCCTTTCCCTTGGGGTGTTGTGGTCGTTGTAAGGCCTTTCTTTGCATAATATGTGTGGCCGCTTAAATGACTGATACGGGTGCGACCTGGGTAGCCGTAGCCTGTGTTGGCCATTGTGGGTGCCATTTTCCCATTCCTCGCTCCGTAGAGCCTGTTTTGCTGGTGGGCCGTTGATCTGTGGAGGGGGCTTGGCCCATTGACGAAGTGGTGGCATCCCATTGGTGGCCGTTGGTGTGGCCACTAGGGTGGTGCCACGTGTAGTTACCGTTGGGGGGGGCTATAAATACCCCTCCCATTCCGAAGAAAGCCTCCATTTTCATCCTGAGCAAACGAAGTGTTGCCCAAAATTCTAGAGAGATAAAGTCTCTTGCGAGTGTTCTTCACCTCCTTCTAAACTTCAAGGTGAGTTCCTTTAACTTTTCTTTGATCTCTTACATATTTTGCTTCCTTTAGACTTTGATCTAGTGTTAGTCACAAAAACATCCTGGATCTAAAGTAGATCCCTGTAGTGTCTTAGGAGTTGTTTAAGATGAAAACCCTGAACGAGGAGTATTATCCCTACGACGACGAGCCCTCCACCCAGTCTCTTGACTACCGGGTGGTGGAGGAATGCTGCGAGGAGATTGAGGGATTGACCCCTTTGAAGTCGGGGGATCAAGTGGACGATGAAGGTGAGGACGAGGAAGTCGGCTCATTGTCTGAGGGCGAAGACGCGGAGGTCTCCCGCGCCGTAGATGGTTCATCTACCTCCACCGCCATTCCTTGCCCAAAACCGGTGTCCACTGTCAAGGGTACGGCCCCGAAGAGGAAGCGCCGGCCGAAGACGGGGCCTGGTTTCTCCCAGTTGGACCTTAGCAATATCTACATCATCAAGCCGCAGTGTGGAGCGGCTGACTACCTGGTCACTCAGATGTACGTAGGGCCCTTTGGTAGGGTTAGGGCTCCCAGGCCGACGGACCATGTTCTCAATCCGCCGCCGGGATATTTCGGAGTGTATCCGATGAGCTTCGCCAAGGGGCTGCGGTTCCCGCTTCATCCCTTCATTACTGAGTATTTAGACATGGTGGGACTTCCTCCGGCACAGTTGTCTCCGAATAGCTATTCCCTGATTGTGGGGTTTCTTCTGCGTTGTGATGAGTTGGGCTTCAAGCCGACGACGGCCTTGTTTATGAACTTGTATCAGATTGGCCGAGGGAGTCACCAGAATTGTGCCGCCTACGCCAACCTTCAACAATTGCCGAAGAAGAGGAGCTTTACTGATCTCCCTTCATCCATCCACGATTGGAAGAGCAGGTTTGTCTTCGTGTCGTTGGGTGAGGGGGGCAATGAGTTTCCTTCCGTCGGCCATAGTGGTAGATTTACCCTCCATGATGTGCCGAAGAGTGCCATCCTGGATGCCCAAGTAGTTGCTTTCTTGGAAGGGGGGCCGAGGAGCGTGAAGGACTACATCACGGAGTAAAAGATGACCGCCCTCGGCTTCTTTAGGTACTTCGTGTATGGGAACGAGGAGGATGATGGTAGAGTTGTGGCCAAAGATGACCACTACCTTCGAGGAGGCCGATGGCCCGGATTTGGGGATACCCGCCGAAGCTGATGGTAATACTTTGCCCATTGGCCTTATTTCCTGTCTGACCCCTTTTCTTTGCTAACTCATCTTCCCTTTTGTTATGCAGACTTCGTGATGGATCGCCGGTCCGTGATGAATAAAGCCGCCGCAAAGGCGAAGGCTGAGCTGGCCGCCAAGGAGGCCGCGACGAAGGCGGCGGCAGGTGGTGATGTGCTGAAGAACCCCCCCCCCCCCCCCCATCCAAAGAAAAAGCAGCCGGTGGATGAATCTCAGAAGAAGCTGAGTGAGGCCGGCATGCAACCCGCCAAGAAGTCCAAGAAGGCTTCGCCTTCCTCTGTTGCCGACAAGGTCGGCGCTCTGACCGTCCCAACTGTGGACGAAGGGGGATCCGGTGCTGCTGTTGCCATTGTGGATCTTACCTCCAGTCTCTCCAGCGATGTTTCTCAACCCCTCCCCCTCGCCCAAGGGTCCCGGCCGAAGCGGTTCGGCAAGGAGGTGGCTATGGCCACTTATAAGATTGAGGTTGAATACCTCAAGGACGGGGGTGTCTTCAACGATGGTGTTGACTGCCATGATGTGCTCTCTCAGGCCATCCCGGCCAAGGACCGGTCTTATCTTGACAAGCTCGGCGATGTCAAGATATACGATGGGGGGATGGACCTTGTCGTCCAGGTAAATCCTTTCTTCTTTAACTTTGTCGTTTTCCTTTGTTGTTTTTACGAACATGTTACATGATAGTGTTTTGTGTTGCAGGGTGCCTTTATGCTCATGGAGAGCAATAAGAGGCAGCAACGGGGGATTGCCCGTTTGAAAGAGTTTGAGCAGAAGGCAGCTTCAGCCGATGAGGCCATGAGCTGCTTGGGAAGGTTGCGAGAGGACTTTGCGGCCTTGCAGAAGAGGGCCGACGAGGCCGATGCGGCCAAGAACGAAGCCCTGGCCAAACTTGCTGAAGAGAAGGATGCCCGAGAGGCTGATCGCCGGCGGGCCGATGATGCCGAGAAAGCCAAAGCCGGAGCCGAGGCTGCAGCGGTGAAGGCCGCTGATGCTGCTGTTGAGAAGTTCCTGGCCGAGGGCTGGAAAGCCGACGAGCGCTTGCCCTGGTGTTATGAGGTCGTGGCGGCCAAGCTCGAGGATTGAGGGCAAAACTCCCCTGCCGGCCAAGAGTATTTTGAGCGTGAGATGTCCGTGTATTACAACATGGGCCATCATCGGATGCAAAGGCTCCTTTATCGGCGGCTGAGTCGTGCCTTCAAAGCACTGAACTATACCCGGGGGTGGGCCAGGCGGAACCTGCAGCTTCCCAAGCTGATGAAGGATCCAGAGGAGCAGGTTAAACTTCCCCTTTCTGACAGGCAGGCTCCGATAGAAAGCTCTGGCCTCGGCGAACCAGACTATGGTGAGGATGATGTCATGCCCGATACCGCCACTTCCGTTGTAGAGGCCAGTTTAGATGCCGATGTCGAGGCCGAGGATGATGTCGGGTTCATCGTTGATCAAAACGTTGCGGGTCAGGCTGCCGGTGAGGGCGTTCAGGAGGCTTGATCGGCCATAATCTATTTTGCCTTGTAATTAGTAATAGCTTTTGTTTTGCCCGTCTGAATGTAATGGCCGAAGTGCCCTCCTATGTAACTTCACCTTTTGACTGAATGAATAGCGCTTTTGTCCCCTTTGGCTTTAAATGTTTATGCTTATTGCTCTCGTTATTTCAATTCTGAAATTTGTCTAAGTGTCCAACCAGAGCATAGATAACTACCGCGCCGTGGCTGGGGCCGAGGCAGGCACCTGCAAGTGTTTGAGTGCCCGCTTCGTCTTGAGGTTGTCCCCTCGTTATTCAATACTTTGGAGATTTCTCTAAGTGTTGGGCCATGTAGTTTTCTCTGCCCAGTACCGTTGTCAGCCAATTTGGGCAGTGTGGCCGATGAAGGTACCCGTGTGTCTGAAATTCACTTAGGCAACTTTCTTCAAAAAAATTCTAAGTGTTTGAAATTCACTTAGGCAACTTTCTTCAAAAAGTGTTTGAAATTCACTTAGGCCACCTTCCTCTCTGTTGTTCGCTTCGTCTTGGGGATGCCTTTTCCCTTTTGCCTTTGAAATTTTTCCAAGTGTTCAACTTAAGCACGAGTGTTTTAGTGCCCGCTTCGTCCTGGACCTCCTTTCTGGTGTTCGACTCCAGGATTGTGTTAAGTGTCAAGCTGGGATTCTTGGTTTGCATGCTAAGTGTTGGAACTTCAGTCGGTCATGGCCGATGAAGGTAACCACCCTCGTTTCACCAATCCACTTGGTTAGGATTCTATAGGTGCATGCTCCGTCCTTGACATTTTCCTCGTAGCGGGTAGCCGCTTCGTCCGTGTTACCTGTTGATAGTGTTACCTTTGTATTCAAATGATATGTACTTAGCCAAAGGTGTGGCTTGATGCGTGGGGATTTATTTTTACTGCTCGAGGTCGGTAGGTGAGGGCGGTCCTCGGCTTCCCTCTTTTTTTATCATTATTCCCTATTTCGGGGAGTGTCCTTCTTTCAAGCTTCGGCCGAAGGGGTCGATAGTCCTCCGGCCGGTTTGGAATTTGTTTATAACGTCCATGGTCTCAGGGGGGTCTCGTCGCCTATTTATGACGCGGGCTAGACTTTTGGTTGGTTTCCAACGGCTGTCGTTGCCCGACCTTGAGTTTGGGGATTTTGTCACCTCGGCCATGATTTCAGGCCTGTCGTCCTGCGATCAGGCGCGTGGACGACGCGGTGAACTTCCCATTTCAAGACATGGGCCGTTTGCGGGCCCATCGTCCTGGGGACATCGTCGGCCCTGCTTGAGCGTTTCGCTCTGAGGGGCCGATACGACGTGCTCTCTCAGCTCGGCCTAAACCTTTCGCTGATACAAAATACAATGGGGCATACATGAGCCTTTCGCTCTAAGGTGGCCGATGAGGGCACCCGTTAATATTTTATTTGAATTCCAAAAAATCAAGGGAAACATGACTTTTATTCATAAATGGCTCAAGGCCGAGGGTGTTGTTCGATCAATAACCCGTCAAGGAGTGAGGGCTTCGCCGGCTGTACCTCCTTCGGATTATTGATAAAACTTCATCAGATGGTGTATATTCCACGTTCGTGGTACATTGGTCCCATTTGGGTGTTTAAGCTTGTAGGTGTCGGGTTTTATCACGGCACTGACAATGTAGTGAGCTTCATATTTCAAGGCTAGCTTGCCCCCCTTCCATCGGCTGACTCGCTTCCCTTCCGCGGAGGACGTAGTCCCCCACTTGGAACTCCCAGGAACGTACCTTGGCATCATAGTATGATTTTACTTGACGCCGATAGTTTTCTGCCCGGATGAATGCTTGTTCGCGTCTCTCTTCGACCAGGTGGAGGTCGATCTTCATGTTCTCCTCGTTGACCTCAGGGTCATACTGCTCCACCCGTCGGCTGGGAATGGTGACTTCCGTGGGTGCCCTTGCTTCAAAGCCATAACACAGGGCAAAAGGTGTCTCACCTGTTGCCCTCCTTGGCGTAGTACGATAGCACTACAGGATGTTGGGGAGCTCGTCGACCCAACTTCCTCCTGCGTCCTGGAGCTTCTTCTTCAGCCCCTCCATTATAGTTCTGTTGGCGTTCTCAACCTGCCCGTTGCCCTGAGGATAGGCGACGGAGGAGAAACGGTGCTTTATTCCCCATTCTCGAAGGAGCTCTTGGAAGGGTGCCGCTTCGAACTGGGTGCCATTGTCGGATATGATCTCTTGGGTGCCAAATGATAGAGTATATTCTAGAGAGAAGTGAGAGCTAGAGAGAGAAGTGCAAGTAAATGCTTCAATAAATGATTTTCCAACCCCTACAACTACCTCCAGAGGAAGTATTTATAGGGAAAATATGGGTTGGGCTCCCAAGCCTTGGGCATGGGAGGCCCATTTACAACTGGACCGCTATTGGGCCGAATACAATGTGTGTAGAAATGATTAAGTGTAAAATCTAGTTCTGTGAGACTTCTGTGGCTGACGAGGGCACGGCCGATGAGGGCACGGTCGACGGGGGCACCCAAGTTCCCTGACTTCAGGATCATATTCTGAGTTGGTCCCTCTTCGACCGACGGTGGTCCTTTGGCCGACGAGGGCACCACTTGGTGGCTCGTACTTTCTGTTCTTCTGAGTATGTGGATCCTGGGGCCTAGACCCATATACTCCATCACCCTACATGAGTGAAAGGCCACCAAATTCCTAAATTGCTAGCCTAAATGTGACCTCTAAAAGTTAAATCTTTAAATAAATTTAAAATCACTTTTATAAAATTCATTTATGATTAATACTCGGTAAGATTCTAGTAATACCTTCATAAGACATTCGGATTATGATTTAAAATTCCTAGGTCTAATTTTATGGAACTATTATGACATAATGTTAATAATGATAAGATATCATTAAGTTTCAAATTAAATTTTCAATATTCCAAAAGGTTGAATTCCCGACCCAAGGTCCCCCCACGCCACTACCCAACAAGACTTTTGGGATATTGTAAGTCATGGTGACTCAATCGATCCAATGATTGTATATCTTGTACCCGTGTGCACCAGAGGTCCAGCTCAGTCGGCAGAAGCTGTAACCTCCACTTGGCCGCTGCAGGTTTCGATCATTCATCAATGTTCTAACTTTCCTACCACTCAACCAATGAGCTACCCGTGCGGATTCAAATTTAATTTGTGGTATATACTACTCTTGTGATGTAGTAGTATTACATGAAGTGTAACACTCTCCGTGCAATAAGGAAATGAGGAACATTTTTACATGAAGTGTAACACTCTCCGTGCAATAAGGAAATGAAGAATATTCTGTCAGATTGAGATTATAATCCAATTTACATCCTCCCAACATACTGTTCGATCTAGATTGAGGACCTCAGGGATAGGGTGTCATCCTTTTTTAGGAAATGAGGAATATCTTTACTTGCTTTTCCGTAGAGTAAGATCCATCATACGTCTTCTCTTTAAAGGTACAAATAGCTAATTCATAACGTGCTCTTAGACTTTTCTTTTTACGGTACTATATTGGCAGGCTTGGTACTTGATACATTATTATATTGAAGCAAAATGACGACCCCAATAAACCTTTATCAACCCATATTGAGACGAGCCCTCGGTTTTCCTACGACACAATAATAGAGGAGCGCAGTGAGTATATTATTGGGCTACTCCTATTATAAAGTTAAAATTTTAGAATAGAACATCTAGTCTTAACATGATATTAAAGGGGTGCAGCTTCTCTTCATTTATTTCTCTCCATTTTCCCTCCATTTCTTTCTCACTTTCTATTTATATCTACTTTTTCTCTATCCTATTCATCAACATACTTCACTCTTAATTTTCTCATCTCTATCTCTCTTATAATGAAACTCTCTAGTTAATGGAGAGGATCCAAATTCGTATTATATTCAAGTCGGTTATAATTTGACCGTTTATTTAGCACTAATGATTGAAAATGGCTTGTTAAAGATCTCTTTAACCCATTTATACACCCGATTGTGTCCCGTCCGGTTTGGATTGAGGGGACATGTTGAAGTTTTTGTTACACACCAGACTTCTATACAACAATAAAACATTATACGTAGTATAATAATATGAACCCCCCCCCCCCCCCCCCCCCTCCTATATCGTTAACCGTTTAGGATTAAACTTTAAGTTTTAACGTACTATGTACATGCACTGACTTATGCAAATTCTCGTACATATATGTATGTCTCATTTGCCTTTGTCAACTTTTAATTAGGTAAACAAAGCAAATAGTGTGATTGAGATTTGTGCAAAAGAGTCAGAAAGGAGTGTAATCACGTATTAATTGTTTCAAAAGGAAATACAGTTTCTGAAACGACTAAAGAATGAAATTTCACAAAGGCCAATAGATCGAGCGGGAGTAGTAATTAATTTTGTGGCCACTTCACGTTGTATACACGTGAAGTCAATCAGTTGAAAGTTACTTCCTGTGCATGCACTAAAAAATTCGGGATTGAGAAGGCTTTTTCGCAGGGATTCCTCAAAATTGGTAAGGATTTTGGCAAAGATATGCTAAATCCGTTCCAAAAACAGTTTATCAAAAGCTATTTGACACAAAATCATCGATAAATCCGTGCTAAAATCCCGTATCTTTTTGTAGTGACGGTGGTGTATGTATGGGTGTTGGTAACCTAGTTGATTTCCAAGCGAATCGGATTTACTTCGCTCAAGGATTTGAGGTAGGTTCTTCAAAATTATAATTATTTCAACAAAGTCTTGTGATGAAAATACAAATATGGTGCATTTTCATGGAGACTGGCTTTTGTGTTTTCTAGTTTGATTATTGGTTTGATCTGTGATTCTTTTTATTAACTTGCTTATAGATATCTTTTATTTTTATAAATTGTATTTGTGTTAGAAATACATCTCATTTTTTAAAAATATGTAATCACTACAAAAAAATTACGAGATTGACACGGAATTTGGCACGGACTTACCAATTTTTCATGCCAAATAGCTCGTGTCAAAGTGATTTTGGCATGAATTTGGCATTTCCTTTGCCAAAATCCCTGACAAATCCCTGCCAAAATCTCTGTCAATCGCGTGATTTTTTGGTAGTGAATGACTAACATCTCATTTTTTATAGGACTAGGTCCTAACAGGTTGTGCTCCGTAAGGTGAAATCTTTACTATATTATTTGTAGAAAATAATTTTGAAATGAATGAGAAATTGTTCCCCAAAATTATCTCTAAAACTAGATTTGTGTAGTTTATTCAAGGCACTTGTACGAGACCGGAAACAAGCAATATTCAAGGCTTTTTATTATGCAAATATTCATGAGCTCCAAGAGGTACCAAAGTTTTGTGAGGAAAACCCCTCTAACAGTAAAGCCTAAAATTACATTTCAGGCACTGCAACCATCTGTCCGGGCTGGGTCGGATCGGATTTTGGATACGGGTGCGTGTGGTTACCAGTTATACCCACCCACAGTCACACATGGCTCAAAGATATCATCAATATTCGTACTACTCCCTTCGTCTCTTAAAATCTTTCCTTTTTGGGATCTTCCAAAAAACTTTGTCACTTTCTTCTTTAATCAATTAATTTGTGGTTTCTGTTATTTCTCTCTGCTCAGCACAAACCTCAACAACACACTTTTTACTTTATTATTCTTCTCGTCGATCAATTTTGGCAAAATTTCAAGGGACGGATATAGTAGTACTAGTACTCCCTCCGTTTCATAATCTTTGACACACTTTCCTTTTTTGGCTGTTTCACAATCAATGACACACTTCCTTATTTCCTTATTTGGTAAACAAATCTTTACCAAAACAGTGTTCAAACAGTGTCAAACAGTGCCAAACAGTGTTCAAACAGTGTCAAACAGTGTTCAAACAGTGCCAAACAGTGTTCAAACAGTGCCAAACAGTGTTCAAACAGTGCCAAACAGTGTTCAAACAGTATTCAAACAGTGTATTCTACAGTAAAATTTACCCCTCAGTAACATTTTTTTCTTATTTCTTGACAAGTCAAATTGTGTCAAAGATCGTGAAACGGAGGGATTATATTTCTTTACTCCGTGCAACATATTTCGTGCCTCTATATAAAGTGGCTGGGCTGGTGCATAAGATCATATCTCACAAACAAATTATGATGATGGCAAATACCAAACGCTCTCCAGTATCAGCATTGCTGATATTAGTGTTATCGGTAGGCTTGCTAGCTTCTTCTATTGAAGCCAACTTCGACCCAATTGGTATTGATAGCCTTCATTTCCCACCTGATTTCTATTTTGGATCAGCTGTCGCTGCTTATCAAGTACGTCTGCACTACCTCACAAGTTTCTTCTTCTTCGACCCTATATTTTTTGCATTTAGCATAATCACCTCTCATCGCAGTTGCCGGGATTTCAACCCGGGACCTAACCCTTGTCTCACTCTCTCGCCACGAGTTGAGCTACACCCACCAGTTTCATTTTGCATTGTTCTTCTCATTGCATGGTGGTTGTGTTTTAACAATAAAAAACGTACACCACTTTTCTTTTACATGCATATCAATTCAACGTGTATAAGAGGTTGTTCAAATTAAAATTTGGGTAACGTCTGAAATGCTAAAAATTTATTTTTGCAACACTATTATGTTTAATTTGGGTAGTGCATGTTTTCATATTTACAAAAAAAAAAATCACTTAGTGTTATTTCAAAAAGTTTGCTTTTAATCTGCCGAAGTGCCGTACTTTATACCACGTGATGAACACTAGTCCAATTTACACTTTCACACGTTATGATGACGTTAATAAGAACTTTTTTATTTGTTGCAGTTATATATATACACATAATATATATACATATACACATAATATATATACATATACACATAATATAATACACATATAAATATGTATGTGTGTGCATACATACAAAGTATAATATACATTTTTGATAGGTTGAAGGAGCACACAACAAAAGCGGTAAAGGACCCAGTATCTGGGATACATTTACGCATGAGTTTCCAGGTTTCTCCCTATCCCTCTAGCTCTTTGTGCATGCATGAAAATATGAGGACTTGAAACTATGAGGGACATAACTGATAACTAGAGGTAAAAATAGTGTGGAGTTGGTACAAAAAAGTTGAGAAATTTTAATGCCAAAAACTACATACATGATACATCTAATAAAGATTTTATTACAAATTTGGAGTGGGTCGAGAACTAACATTACCCGGCCACTTCCCTAAGCACCTACTACTTATACAATCTAGTTGTAAGAAAAATTTATATGGTAGATTCGAGGTTAGCCTTAAGGTACCGTACCTTTGTTCACATGGATCAATCAGAATGATGTAATTGAATTATTTAAATCTAAATTAAAAATAATGTAATGATTTGAACCAATCAAGTGAGTGATAGGTACTGTACTCCATTTTTTAAATGGATACCGGAGTTGTCGCCGATTTATATTTGCATCACATGTTCAATCTATTTGGTACCTAACTCCATTGAACCTCCTAGCTTAATAAAAGGCTCTTTTTCCTTTTTGGAGTGTCCTTATATAAAAGGCTCATTTCCTTTTTTGGCAAACAAAGGAGTACAAAACAATATCAAATATTGTCTAAACATTGTTAAAACAGTGTCAAATGATATTCGCCTAAAGATGTGTGTCATTCAAACGTAACTATGCCTTTTAAATAGGCACAGATGGAGTATATACTTTATGCATAGCTCTATAACTAGGCTATTTTATGCCTGTGAATCTCGTTCCAGACAAAACTTGTATGTGAGTATGTCTGTGAACATATTCACAAAAAATATTTAATTTTATCCTTGAACTGCTTCCATGATTTAAACTATTCTGAGTTTTTTTATTCGCAGAAAGAATTGATGATGGAAGCAATGGAGATGTTGCTGTCGACTTTTATAACAAGTACAGAGTACGTATATGTCCATTTTTATATACATCCTACTGTATTTATTAACCGGAATTTGGAGGATTTTCCAAAAATATAAGTAATAAAAATAACTCAATTTCAAGTACTATATTTGTGTGCTAAATATACTAATTTATTATCATCCTAAAATTATTGTAGTAGTAGTACTTTGACATTAAAATTTATTATCATCAATTAATGTCATGTTTAGTGTAACACATGTATTATTTGGAATTGTTACCAATAATACATCTAGCCAGTGTTAGGATGTTTTTACTTGGACTGTAATTCGTCCCAGACCAGACCAGACTTGGATAGTTATAAAAATACAAAGAGTTCAGACCAGTTCAGACCAGACCAGATCAGACCAGATCAGGCCAGACCAGACCAGACCATACCAGCAAATTACAGTTCAAGTAAAAACATCCTTAAAGTGACGTATGTATTGCCACTAATGATATACTCCGTATTCAGGAAGATATCAGGCTAATGAGTAAAGAGGTTGGAATGAATGCTTTCAGGTTCTCCATTTCATGGCCGAGAGTGATCCCTAGTAAGTTTTCAAATTAAGCCGTTTTTAATTTCTATAAAAACATTTTTCAGCACATAGTATATAAGTTTTTATATGAAAGTTTATTTTACATTTATACAGTAACAGAAACAATTACATTTATATGAAAGAGTCAAATAAAATCAAATCAATCATCACGCTTGTATAGTCTCTCTTCACTTTACTCAAAGTCATACTCTATTTTAAATCAACAAGTCTATATTACGCATCATACTACTTCCTTTCTTGAAAACTTTGTCATTTCATAAAATTTGGACCATGATTTTGGTAAGTTAAAATTTTATGAAAGTCATAAATTTTATGCTTTCAAGAAGGTACGTACTTTTAACAAAGAATATTTTCATATTATTTTTATACTACTCCGTATGTGTTAGAAATTAATAATTTTCAATGAAAATATATAGTTAGTCAAAGTTTTAAAGATGACAAAGTTTTTTAGAACGGACGAACTATTATTCTTGATCACAAACTTTATATTAAAATGGAGTAGGGCATCCACATATATGTATCAGATTATATATGCAATACAGTGATTTTATTAGTAATGTTTAGTAACAATCATAATGGTCAACCTAACTTGCACTATACTTACCACGAAAGCGTACAAATGTAAATGTTTCGACATTTTTCTTATCCATAAATTTACTTTTCTAAAAGGGTCCAAAAAAAGTTTACTTCTCTATTATTTAACAAAAGATCACTTTTGACTCCCATTTTCGTACAAAAAAACACTTTTGTCTCCAAAAAATGTCTAAATATATTATAAATAAAAAGTACCTACAAGTACTTTTTTATATTTCTGTACTTTCCAATTTAGTTCTAAGCTGCTCAGTAAGAGAACTATACCTGGATTTAATTTGCAAGTACTGCAGCTCATTAAAAATGTTACGTGGAGCAGGTGGAAGAGTTTCTGAAGGAGTAAATGAAGAAGGGATTGCATATTACAATAGAGTCATCGATGAAGCAAAAAGGAATGGTAAGAATGAGTTTTAATTTTGGAATTTCGTATTGTTTTTGTCGATAGAATTTGTACAATAAATATTTTGTCACATTTTTATTCGTAAATTAAGTTTCTTGTATTTATTTGATTAACTTTATTTGCTTTCAGAATATGTTATGTTAATTAGCTAGATAAACTAAAGATAGCGGTATATGTGTCAGGATTGGAGCCATTTGTGACCATATTCCATTGGGATGTTCCTCAAGCTCTTGAAGACAAGTATGGTGGCTTCTTGAGCTCTAGAATAGTGTAAGCGCCGCCCCATACATGTATTTACATAAATTATAGTCTCGTGTTATATATTAGGGAGTATTATGTCCATCCTTATGAAAATTTGGTACAATACGGCATACGTTTATCATGAAAAGTAGAGTTATAACATCTCACCATACAAATCATTCCTTGAAAGTGAACATCAAGACGTTTAATTGGTATTTTCCAAAATGTTCAGTATGAAAAACAACGCTCCGTAGAAATAACTATATATTTATGACTATAAAAGTTTATTTGTTTATCAAAATGCGACCTCTTAAGGGTGGTAATTAATGATCATAGTAGTAACTTTAATCATAATAAATCATGTTCAATTATTACCGTACTCATAATAACATTAATCATATTTTTTAAATATTTTTATTTTTATTGTACTTCTGAACAAAACTGAGCATAGTAATATGGGATAGAGGAAGTACTTTAACAACTGCCGTACTTGTATGAACATACTCCTTATTATATTACAGGGGTGATTTCAAGGATTTCGCAGAACTTTGCTTTGAAAGATTCGGGGACCGAGTGAAGCATTGGATAACACTGAATGAACCATATGAGTTTAGTATGGGAGGGTATGAAGCTGGTAATTCTGCACCAGGGAGGTGTTCGCAATGGGTGAATAAGGCATGCCTCGAAGGAGACTCATCCACTGAACCTTATATCGTCGGCCATCATCTCATTCTCGCTCATGCTCAGGCCGTCAACTTGTACAGGACAAAGGTATATTTGCCGCCGGCCAGGTCACTCAATTTCAGGAAGAATTTAAAAGAATGATGAATATATATATTTTTTAATCAGATCATAATAATGCTACTAAATTTAGATTGTGTTTTATTTCCTATTTAATTAAGTTAGTATTTTATTTACTCCATATATTATTAATGTCTTGAATGTGATCTTTCATTGTCCCTCTTTAACATGTCAATGAGTCAGTCGATTATTACAAAATTCTGAATTTGTTCCACAAATTACTGATAGCTTTGAATTGTTACAACTTTAAAAAAAATGGTACATAGTACCGGAATTTAGGTGGCACAATTGGAATAACTCTCGATGTGACGTGGACACTACCTCTTGTTAACACCAGCTTGGAAGATGATCGAGCTTCGAAGCGCAGTCTTGATTTCAAATTTGGCTGGTTAGTCTCTCTTCTTCCTTACTCCCTTCAAAAGTTACTAGTATACTACAAAAACAAGTTGCTCTAGCTTTCAATTATCACACATAAAATTAATCTAAACCATGTACTAAATAAGTTTATATGCATATTTTTAGAAACTGAAATGAAGGTTTTAATATCAATCTTCAAAAGTTATTAGTTGATAAGTGCTCTATAAAAGAATAGAAATTGCTTAAAGTAAGGGAGGGAGTCTTCATTCGTCATCATTAACCCATTGCTGCCTTGTACCAAAGCACAAAGAGACCGTTTCTGGATGACCCATAGTGAATATTGCGTAATATACAATTTTTTATGAGCAGATTTTAATTTATTAATGCATTTATTATTATTAAAAGTTAGAACATCTTTAATTGAACAATGTGCGCAATGCATATATTACATGAGAGGAATTGACACAAGAAAAATACAAGTAATAAAACAACAATTGTCTATGTAAATGTGTACACAAAATGTCGGTATATGCTGATATACAATCTGCACAAAATATGTATGCAAACATTAGTTGTCTGGTTACACAAGCAGTTCATTTATAAGAAAACATCAATCGTCTGTAACTCATTTGTGTAACTCATTTCTGGACACAGGTAAGTGTATAAAATGTATACACCTTTCTGTACACAAAACAAGTAACGTAACTCATTCATTATTATTATATTATGTTAAGCTCTTAATTGACTAATTAATTGTGATTGAAATAGGTTTATGGAACCCATAAACTTTGGTCACTATCCAGAATCGATGAGGACTTTAGTTGGAGCAAGGTTGCCCCAATTTTCGTGGGAGGAAATCCAGATGGTGAAAAGGTCCTACGATTTTATCGGCATAAACTCATACACTTCCACATATGTTTCTTCCAATTTCACCCCTGACTCAAATCCAGCCTGTATTAGGGCAACAACTGATACGCGTGCTGTTTTAACATGTAAGTATCCTACCTATCGCATCTGCTTTAATTTATTGTTATCCTCAGCTCAGTTTTTAAATTACTCTTTAGAAAATCAAATACTACGTATGTGATTTCCACAAAAAATATTATGTATTGTCATCCTGGATTTTCTATCCCTGGTTATTAATATTTTAATTGGCTTACGATATTTCGATATCCAGTGATTTTGTCATTTTGACTTGATTAACTAAATTGATATATCCTATATTTAACTTTTGATCATTATTAGTTAAACAATAGCATATAGTATAAAATTTTATGAATAAAGAATAGCATATAGATTAAGAATTTATGAATAATTATTATGAATTTACAGTAATTATGTTATGTCTAGAACAATATACATTTGTTATTTTATAGTATTGATATATAGTTTGCTCAATACAATGAATTCTTATTGAATTTCAACTAAAAAAGCAATCGGGAAGGCAGACAAATAAATGTTTGAATATATATAATTGCGCAGTTAAACAGCGTAGTATATTTCATAAAATCATTTGACTGCCTTCCCGGTTAAATTTTTAGATAAAATTTGATATGGTTAACTAGACTTAACGAGGAAGATGCTCAAAAAAATTCATCAAAAAATGTCACCGGGAACTGCCCAAAATGGCGATGGTCGGGCAGAGCCTCCTATAAAAGGGGTGATTTGCACTTTTTTGTTAGTTCGAGGGCTTATTTGCACCTTTCCCATTTTTAAATGATACAGGGAATGGGGGGTATATATGTTCTGTGATATATCATTAAGCAGTGTATATTCCATATTAAACATTTGTTTAATAAAAATAGTAAACTTAGATTAAATTAAATATAGTCTTCTTATTGAACGGGAGATAGAGAACATGGCAATATAACTTTTAGTTAATACTACGTATAATAATATGTTTATTCTTGTTTGCAGCACGCAATACGGATGGGGAGCCCATAGGTGAACAGGTTGGTCTTAAATATACAACATTTTTTAAATCAATGCACTGTATATTAAACTTCTACAAATATTCGTTGATAATTACAAAGGATATAGTATAATAACGCATAATCATATATTAATTACAAAACCCTTTATTACTAATTTTGTGGATATATTATTTGAATGAATGCATTTGCAGGGTACTCCACTCTGGTTGTATGTGTATCCACAAGGAATCCTGGAAATACTGAAGTATACCAAAGATACCTACAATGATCCAATTATTTATATCACTGAGAACGGCAAGCTCACACATTCCTACCTTTTGATTATATTCAAAACTTTGACCAACTATATCTTTTTATTGAAAATTATTTATAATATAAAAATTATATGAAAATGTTATTTGTTCAAAGTACTTTCCATAAAAGTATAAAATTTATAACTTCTATTATAAAATTACTTTTATAACTATCTAATGTATACGGTTTTAGAATCTGGTTAAAGTCTTCTGAATAGCCTTAAAGAACGGAGGAAGTATATAAAAGTTAAATGTAGCTACTATATGCAGGAATCGGTGATGCCCTGAATCTCTCTCGTCAAGAAACACTTAACGATGACTGGAGGGTAAAGTACCATCAAGATCATCTTACATATATCCGTCAAGCCATTTGGTTAGTCCAGTATCTTAGATATATTAAATATGGCTTGTTTATGTTATATTGTTCTCTTATAAAGCAATTTATTTATTTAAATAGGAGTAAAATGTTGCTCAAATTTCAAAAGACTTATCTATATTTTATTCATCAATAGATTATTAGGCCCTTGTTCAACTTTTACCTTATACCCCTAATTTCAAAAAATCTTTAATTATTACTCCGTAGTATATAGATTTTGTGTAGAAATTCATCCAAAAAATTGTACCAGACAAGCCAGCCTAGTATATATCCCCTCTTGATAATAACACCTCTGGATTTTGTGAAATTGCCACTAACTACAATGTTGAGTAAAAGATTGCTTTATTTGGTAATTCATAAACCACCTGGAATGTGAGACTAATTAATAGCAATATGTGCATGATAATGATGATGAAAGATATACGCAGTACTACTAATGCGAAAATTACTAGCTAGGGGCAAGATCAAAAGAGATGTATGATATATGTATGATATATGTTATGATCCTACTTTTCCTGTCTTCAATTCAATTATTACTCATATAGAGTCGTATTAGAAATCTGTGAATATTTTAGCTACATTTAAGTAAATGTCCCAAGATATATTAGTGGTTGATGAATGGATTTGTGGGCATGCATGCAGTGAGTTCAAGGTTAGGGTGAAAGGTTATTTTGCTTGGACATTCATGGACAACCTTGAATGGGCAACCGGATTTAGTGTAAGGATGGGGTTGTACAGCGTTGATCGCAGCAGCAAAGAATTGACAAGAACTCCAAAGGACTCGGCCTTGAGTTTCCAGAACTTCCTGAAAAACTTTCGTCAGGGTAAGGGTAATGGCGGCGGTCCTATTCCTGAGGAAGATTATTGCTCAAGACCCTTGCTTATGAATTCCCAGGTTCCTGCAGATGGTGCTGGCACCAACACCAAGGTTGATCATGATGAGCTCTAATCAAATATGGAGTAGTAGTATGTTAGTATTGAGTCAATAATAAGTTGCTAAGTTTCTGTCCATTCCACCTGCATGGTGTGCTTCACACTACAAATAAGTAATGGGTTTGGAACAGATTTAGCACAGACCTTTACCAAAGGTTTGGTAAGGCCATGGCAATTCCCTTGTCTTTTGTAGTCTACTTTGACTGTAGTCTGTTATGTTTCGATTAGGTAATAATGTATTGTGTGTATGTGGATGTAGTAACTCTTTCCATCTAGCGAACTGTTTATGTGATCAACCCAATTATCCTGTGTTTTATGACAATAAGTATCAGTTTCTATCATACTAGAAATGGGATTCGGAATAATTCAACAGAACTTTTATAGTAGTTCTAAATACACAAATTTTAAATGTTAATTTATCTTTGGAAAAAGGGTTAAATAAGCCATTCAACTATACTGAATCAATCACATTAATCCATCTACTAATATAAACATCGCTACAACCCAATTTACCTGAAAGGCCGGAGATGATTCCATTGACGCTTCTTTGTCTAGGTTGTGGTGGATGGGTTGGGAGAGATGGAAAAGGAAGACTGATTGTGCACGCAGATGGGGTAATTGAATGGGTACAGTTTTAATTGAAAAATGGCAATGATTATGATGGACTAAAAAGTAATGAATGGTGACACGAACCAGACAAATTGTTTGGTCGTACGTGAAAGAAAGTGATGAAATGTTTCTTACATCGGTAAAATATGAACTATTTAACACTATACTAATATTTTAGGCTACTCATTTTGTCAGATTGGTCTTTTAGGATAGAACCTCATATATATTTTTTTGAAAAAAGAGAAATTAATTGAAATTAATCAAATCATTGTCTAAAGCGGATACAATAAAAGGAGGAGAATAAAACCATGACCGCAAACCAGACATAGAACAAGCAGCTCTCGCAAGAGAATGAGCTGTCTCGTTCGCTGATCGCTTAATATGACTAAAAGAAATGCTCGAAAAATATTTTACCAAATCTCTTGTGTCTTCACCCAGTAATCCAACCGAAGAACAACTCGATCCTTGAACAATTTCAGAAACAGATCGCGTCGAATCAGTCTCAACCTCCATCGCAGTCCAACCATTTCTTTTAGCCAGCTAAGAGCCTCTTGAATCCCGACAAGTTCAGCACTTAACGGTGATAATCTTCCGAGCCACGGATGAGACGCCCCGCAATAAACCTGCCTTCCTCATCTCGTACACACCAACCGAGGCCACAAATATTCTGCCGCACCGCTGCGTCGACATTGAGCTTCAACCTGCCAGATGCCGGCCTACACCACAAAGCTCCGGACGAAGGCACTCGCTGCTCCCTAACTCTTTGTCTTGCCTGCGCTAGAATCCAACCATCAACGAAAGCCTGTGCTCGGTTAATGACCTGCATGCTGTGCTGTGGACTCCACTCCATTCCAAACTCGATGATTTCGCTCGCACCAGACAGCCCAGCAGCCCCACACCAGCTTCTCCAAACCAGCTCTCCTCCTGGTCTGAAACTCCAAGTTGATCTGCTCTAAAAATGGCAAAGCCTCCCCACCAGAAGAACCTCATATATCTTACACTAATTTATATCTCTTTACTCCGCACCTCCTCTTGATCCCGGTCTCAACTCAGATTTTCCTCCCCTCCCCACATCTTTCTCTTCGAATTATGTTGTCACACTTAATCTGGAGTCTGGACTACAATGATGACACACATGGATTCTTTTGCTAGTGTTTTAAAATTTCATATTTGTGTTTAGATTTATTTAGTACTGTTTTTGTTCCATTTTAGTTACAAACATATTGGATTTTACACAATTTACATGCTCTACTTGGACTATATTTTATTTATTAATGTATGGGATTTTGTTGAAAAATAGAGTTAAATTATTTTAATTACAAATTTTCAAATATAGTTTTTAAAATTTTTACTAGTGGAGATTAAATATATTGATGATAGGGTGGAGGGAATATTACATACAGTAGCACATCACAAGTTCATACGTAGTATAACAAAAAAGATAAATTTTCACCGAACAAAATTTATTACTTTATCGTGTTTGTGCATACTGGATCGAATTAAAACATATGGCTAAAGAAAGAAAGACACCTTACTACAGGAATTCAATCCCTGAGGGCAGAATCGTTGAAGAAAATTTAGCTTGAAATCAGAGAACACACTTAACTCCAAATAGATCAACTACAAACTATTGAGCATGGGTCATCTTCATTTTAGGCATACCCTTCATTGATTGACAAGCATGATCTTTAGCCTTTTCCTGCAAAGAGCCTCTGCACTTAGCTTAGCTTCCCCTTCTTCCTTATAAAAGCTTTTTACCTCGAATTCTGCAGTTTCTTATAAAATTCTTGCAGCTGCCTTGGGATGTGTGCGCTTTTGGATGAGCCTGGTATAATTTCCACATTTCTAAAAGCAGAATGTAACAAGGGAGGAAAATATAATATTAAGGATATCTTTTGCAAAATACCAAGCTTTTGATTTACTTGACTAAAATGAATTTTAGTAAACAATTTTACTTTAATAAAACTCCGCAAATTTAGCCAAATAACACATGCCAAACAGGTGCTAATGTTTTCTATTTTGAGATTCAAAAGATCTGATGTAAAACTTCCATGTGAGCTGAACTTGTATTTTCCCATCAAGTCAATGTAATGAGGCACAAGACCGATCAGGCGGGTCAGGTCTGACCAGTCATAAGCATTCAGGAGCGCAAATTTGAAAACCAAAATCTTCTTGTGTGAGCCTATGTGTTGATCTGAGAACTGAGAAGTGCATTGAGATGAATCCCTTTTCGAATTTCTCGAATGCGTTTTTGCCAAACACTTGCATGATGAGTACACAAATAAAGGACATTGATTATCAATTCTAGTAGTTGATGCCTTGATAGAACTTTATCTTCTCCCAAACACTAACCATGGTCAATTGAAGAGTCTAACTATCATCATCTACTAGGGATTGACTTTCTCACACTTCCAACATCAGATTGCAATCCTCCTAAGCTTCATATTTTATAACACGCTTGGGGATAGCAATACATCTGTGGCTCTGTTTGGTAGCCCCAAGTAGCTTTGACTTATTTAGCTAATTGGTTGAAATGTTCTACTGTAAAGCACTTTCTCTTCAATAAAATCCAGCAGTTTCAGCAATGCCAAACATTTACAAAACAGACACTTTATCTTATACTGTAAACCTGTACAATTATGAATCATCATCTACTAAATCAAACTCCACTACTCCACCAACAATTGGTGCATAACACATGAATAGCAGTCTTGCAGATTATTTCCTGCAATACTTCACACCTTAGTGACCCTACTTTTACAACCACCACCAGAAGATGTTAGTTACTTGTGCCCTACCAGATTAATGATTATTTGATCCCAAAAAGGTTTTTAAGTAGCAAAACAATTGACAAGACATTCATAATCAACTTAAAGTGGTACAGATTCTAGTCATAGCAGGACAGGATATACAATAAAACTTTCAAGGCGATAAAAAGTATTCAAGACACTTCAAGACAAATAGTTACAGGTAAGCATACCTGCTCAAGAACGACCTTTGGAATCATATCACCAGCAACCTCCTTACAGTCTTAGAATCAGACACCCAGCCAACTTTTCGGCAAGCCACTTCCTCTATTACCCACTTCTTCCTCTGTTTTATGATTTTAATCATCATTACTGTAAAAGTCACCATCTGTCATTACTAGTTTTCGGATCTTTTTCTTTGCCCCAAAGTTCCACCCTTTAATAGAGGCCAAGCGTTTCCTATACCGTAACGCTCCAGCATGTATGGGAATGCCTCTTCTTAACACTAAGTTCATTAGATATATGTATTTGTATCTGATACCTATCAATGGATGCTTCTCTGTTAAGAAATTCTTCTTAAAAGCTTCCCTTAGAACTACAGTCTGTGTGCTAATTTTATTAGAAACGTAAAATATCCCTGGATGATGAGCCAAAGCCTTTTTGAATCTCATCCCAAACCCCAAACAGTCCCCAAAAGAATAAACATTCTCCTTCTCTGTCTTCTTTGACACTAGCAAACTAAGCATTTCATGGATCACAGCAACTGCCCATTTCTCTGCCTGGTCACTGCTCGGATTCAAATGAAAAGCATCCTCGTATGGAGAAATGTAAGGCAAGTTTTGCCACTCTTCAACCCAATTTGCCACCCTCTTTTGCAAATCAAACCCTCCTGGTAAATTAATAGAAAACCTAATGTGCCCTCCCTTTCCATTCTCAGAAACCTCACTCGTCGCTCTCTCTTCCATGGCCGAAACTGCTAAATCATCTCTCCATTTAACCAATTCCAATCCAAACACTTGAGGACCCGATGGTGATGGATCCCTAAACCCCATGTCACAAATTTGAAAATAGTCCGGAAATTCAGGTAGAAAACTGAGTATATAATCATAGGGCAAGCCCAAATCGAACCTAAACTTGTCAATCACATCCAGAGGGAGTCTCCTAGCTCTAGCAAGCATCAAGAGCTTCGCGAGCCGTTCTGCAACGTCTTTCCGGTACAATGAAAGGCCTGTAATCAGTGCCTCCTCGTTTTGTAGGGAAAGAGCCTTTGGAGTGAGTTTCACGTGAGGAGTAGATAGGCGGCTGTTTGGAGGCCGGAAAATCTTAAAAACATAAGGGTACCTCTGGATGAATGTCAATGCGGTGGTTGGGAGCCTTAGTTGGGGCTTCAACGGGGAGATAGTTCGGAGCGGTAGGGTTTTAGAAGGTTGGGAGAGGATCAATGATTTGAGAGTGAGCAAGGGTTTGAGGTTCTTCTCGTTCTCCACTGCCGTGTCGAGGTAAGGGTCCCTGACCCACTTCACCTTGGCGTTCACAAACGTGCGAGCGTGGCGGATTTGCTTGGCTGCCACGGCGGCTTTGCTGTGGGACAGAGCCATCTGCAGCTGTTGGGACGTCCGAAATTTGGGAACTGCCGATTTACTACCGGACGCCGATGAAGACCACGCTAGTACCGCAACCGCCCACCGCTCGGAGTCATCCGCCGGACTAAATAATGCGGCGAGGATGAAAGCAGTCCAGCTGTCCGACGGCCTAAACAACAAAATTCGTCCGATTTTGAGATTTTTCGCATCGATGCACCTCCAAGTTTTTATTCGTGGAAAAATGGCCCAAAACGTTAATTATGTTGCACATTTACATTTAGGTATAACTGTCAAATAGGTCCTCGAACTTTCATAAAAAGGTCAATTAAGTCCTTCTATAGGAGGTTCTGTCCGGCCGTCGCGATTTGGGGCAGTTCCCGGTGGAATTTTTTGATGAAATTTTTTGAGCATCTTATTCACCAAGTCTG